CTCGAATACGATTGATTATCTAGGAAACTGAAGGAGATAGAAAGCAATTGATTTCAGATTCTTGGTCAGCACATCGTATTCAATCTGTCTGCAAGTTTTCAGTCCATTCTGACAACTTGAATTAGTTGAAAAAAGTCAAAGGGGTTAACCTTCTTTCTTTTTCAGACCGAAAAATCAACTTTGCCTTAGGGCCTTCAAATTAGGTATACAGGATCGTCAAGAGATGCCTTAGTACGGAGTAGAAGTACAGCTTTCTGTCTCCAGAAAGAAAAAAAAAACAATTTTTGACCCACTTTTCGTTTCTTGTGGTACCTTCGATGAAAAAAAGTTTCGATCTAGTAACCAAATTTTTCTCGAGCTCGAATACCATTATTTAGGAAACTCCAAAAAGATAAATAAAACAAGTTTTGACCCACTTTTCGTTTACTTGTGGTACCTTTGATAAAAAATGTTTGGATCTAGTAACCAAATCTTTCTCGAGTTCGAATACGATTATCTAGGAAACTGAAGGAGATAGAAAAAAACTGATTCAAGATTCATGTTCAGCACATCGCATTCAATCTGTCTTGCAAGTTTTCAGTCCATTCTGACACCTTGAATTAGTTGAAAAAATGTAGAAAGGTAACCCCTTCATACATTTTTTCAATGCTCCATCTAATAACCCAATTTTTCTTGAGTTGTTATAGGATTATTGAGGAAACTAGGAGAGAAATTAAACACCATTGATATCATGAAACTACTATATTCATATGAAGTTTGATTAATAATTAAAACATCTCACTAAAAGTCTATGGTTAAACATCAACAAAACTTATACTGTAAGTATTCAATTGAAACAATCTAAAAATCTATTCCACAGTAATCACATACAGATAAATATCACAAATGGAGAAGTCCCCACTACAGAATTACTTGGCTCCAAATTAGAATTCCATAACAAGTTTCCCAATCAACACACCACGTGATTACAAAAAAATTGCAGAAATTTTGAACCATCCTTCATACATATTTCGATTTTTATCGAAAATGTATCAGAGTGGAAAGATGGGAAAGCCATTGTTATGAAATTTTTTTATTTTGCAATTCGTTCATTTAATCACAATTTGTACTTTTGCATCTTTTCACTAAAGGTATGAATCCTTTTGTCAATAACTATAAAACATATTTCCAACAATACTTACTCAAAACAAACGACGGGTATAGTCGTATGTTTTAGGTGTGTATACATAGTGATGTCAAATTAGTTCAAACGTACAAAAATATTATTGTTTCAAAAAAATACGAAAAAATTAAATCACAGCATTATTCTCTATGTAATATTAAATTCATATCATGAAACAAAGAAAATTAACATGAAATAATGTGAAAAGACATGTTCCACAAGCCCGAATAATCCTCCAAGTAATTTTGTATGCTATAGAAATAATAGCTAACGCATACAAAATCTCAGTGAATCATTGAACCTCGGAAACAAACACAGGATGATCTGATGAATCAACAAGCAAGTCCTTATTCCTCAAATCATAATCATTACTTTTATATCAGTTTGTCTCTAGATGTTTTTAGTCAGTCAATGAAATAAGAAAGAACCGAGAAAATCAGATCACCCTGTTACACAAATATAAACTATTTATGGCAGTGAAATTATACTAAAGAAATTAACATTTAATACTGAGATCAAGATGTTGAATTTGGGTTTTTTCATTCAGATAAGAACTAAAATTCAAAACTTCAAAGTCAATACAATCCAAATTATTTATCTTAGAAAAGGTCTCTTTAGTTTTTGCGAAATGTACCTACTCGAATGATTTTTATAATTTGTGAAACGAAAATATCGATGGAAATTTGAATTCATAAGTTTTCCTCAACATGCCTACCCTGCAAAGTCGTTCTAATTTGGAAAAAACCAAATGATCACATCAAGTTTGGAAAATGTTCTAGTTCTTCTCCACAAATCCACCCTGTTCATGTAATCTTATCAATGTGAATAGTTCCACAGGACAAAATGGGCGCGGTCCAAGTTTGGCAACAATACGATAAGATATTGACAATAACAAAATCTAGTCAGCCTTGAATATCAACACAATATCATTGAAAGCAACTATTCATGCATCAGATCCAAATTGAAAAGAAAATTCAAAGTATCCATGTTGCCATAGAGTTTTTTAATAGTGAAGGATTATTTTTTTTGTATTTTCAGCCTGATGATAACCCCTAAGGGTCGAAACAGGTAGCAAGTTTCGCATTCACTTCAAACATGGAGATAACCAAAAATTTATCGAAATGACAATGTGCGATTTCTTGTCCTTTTCCAAATTCGTACGGTGGCAAAAAACATGAATAATCAAAGCTGAAAAATATATTTTACGTTTCCCATTGAATTCAGAGTACCTGTTTTTGTTTATTGCCGAAATATGACACTTCTCGTCGCAGAACTGATTACATACACCCAATAAACTGGACGTTCCAATCTGGAGAATGAATAGTCCGAACACCGAATTGAAAATTTGGACAATGACAAAATTGGCGCAGTCGTAAGGACCTAAAATCTTGCTTCGCCGAAAGTGTGAAGCACATTGAACTGTCAAAAAGTGCCACAGGTCTGAATTCGGACTGATGAGAGGATTGTAATGATTATGTAATCATCGACTCAATCTGCTCATATTCCCCCGATGATGAAACATACATGATTGCACACGTGAAATAACTCGCCAGCGTCACGTATCCGTCAAACACATGGACAGCGTAATGTTTTTTCATTTTTCACATTTTTACACGATTTTTCACTTTTTTTTATGTAAACGTGACTTATGGTTGATATTTTTCAGCGTTATTAACATATTTCACGCTTTTTAGCGTTATTAACGTTATTTCACGCTTTATAGCGTTATTAACGTTATTTCACGTTTTCGTTGTTTTCGGCACACACGAGATGCTTACTTGGACGCCAATTTCGAGTCGATTCACGTTTTTTTTACGATTTTGATGCAAGAGTTGCGTCACGTGACGCATGAAATATACTTTCTCACCTATAAGCGAGACGCTTACGTCACACGAGATGCTTGAAAGTGTTTTTTTCACGGGAAAAATCTATTACTTTTTTCCTTGTATAATACTTGCGAGACGTTTTTCAACTTCACAAGCATTGTCACAGACTTTCTTGACGATACAAGCGTAAGATACCACACGCGAGTACCTTTTTCAATGTCTGAACATTGTTCTCAATTTTTCCGTAAAAGCGAGATGCTTACGTGATGCATGAAAGTGTTTTCACGCCTTCCTACGTTGTCACTAGGGGCTTTTTCAATGTCTTGCTAATTTTTTCACGTTTTATATGTAAGCGTAACGCATTCGTGATACTTGCGAGACGTTTTTCAACTTCACAAGCATTGTCACAGACTTTCTTGACGATACAAGCGTAAGACACCACACGCGAGTACCTTTTTCAATGTCTGAACATTGTTCTCACTTTTTCCGTAAAAGCGAGATGCTTACGTGATGCATAAAAGTGTTTTCACGCCTTCCTACGTTGTCGCTAGGGGCTTTTTCAATGTCTTGGTAATTTTTATCACGTTTTCTATGTAAGCGTAACGCATCCGTGATACTTGCGAGACGTTTTTCAACTTCACAAGCATTTTCACAGGCTTTCTTGACGATGCATGAAATACACTTTCACAATTCTAACGCCACACGCGAGTACCTTCTTCAATGTCTGAACATTGTTCTCACTTTCTCCGTAAAAGCGAGATGCTTACGTGATGCATAAGTGATTTCACGCCTTTTTGCGCAATCGCTAGGTAATTTTTTCCACGTTTTCAATGTGAGCGTAATGCATTCGTGATCGATGCGAGAGTGTCGCTTACGGGACGCTTGCCAAATTATCACGTTATTGAACGCTTCTCACACGTTTTCGATGCAAGCGTGACGCTTACGCAAAGTATGGCAAAACTGTTTTCACGTTTGTGTGTTTGCCTGAACGAAAAATATGGGCGACTGAAAAACTAGAACGTTTTCCGGAGCTTGACGATCGAGTGGACGTTTCAAGATCACTGCCCTATCGAAAACGAAAACAAATGAAAAACCGAAATGATTTCCAACACTTTCGATGCGTCTGTTGAAAACGAATCTCTTACTCTTTCGAAGCCTCAAAACATTGGAAGTCCTCTGCAGCAGAATTCTATTCGGCCGTCCTCATTTTTTATAAAAAAATATTCTCGGGAGAGAGAGAGCACAGACTTCCGCATTATACAGGGTGTTCCTAGACCAGTGGAAAACCTCTTGAAACCAATGAGTTTTCATAAAAAATACGATTTGGATTTTCGCCAAGCCGAATCAGGCGAGGATTCAGATATGTTAGAATATACAGGGTGGTTAAGATTTTTTTTGCAAACTTCGACACCCCGTAACTTTCTTGATGTTCAGTTTGAACAATGCTTCAGTTTTTTTTTCCAGAAAATATGTTTGATTTCTAGATTATGGTAATATTAAAATCTGATTGTTTTCTGAAAATCATCATAGCTTCAAGATATATCTAAGTAAGTGTCCCATTGATCTAGAAACACTCTGTATATCAATTTCCTATTTACACAATATACAAAAACCGTTAAAAAGTTATCATTCATATATACAAGGGTGGTCACATATTCAATATGCATGATTGAAAGTAAATCTCTTTTCCTACTTTCGATAATATAGATCAGGTTGTAGTAGAAAAAGTTAAATCTTATAAAAAAAATATCCACATAACACATATTGTTCGAATAAACAACTATTAGGTACCTTACCAGCTACAAATAAAGTTTCTCATACCACATGGAGTAACAATCTTACAGTTACACTACCACACGTGACCTTTTTTGCGCTCTCCCTGTTTCTTGCCGGTTTTCCGAACTGGGAAAACGAGATTTCATCCGAAACGAAAACGTGATTTCATTCGTAATGAAAACGTGATTTCATTCGAAATGGAAACGTGAATCAGTGTCTCTTTCACGGCCACGTTCTCAGTTGGTCATGTACCTGTTGACGGTTCTCAGGGCGTACAACAGTTCCGCCTGCATCCTGGATTCCAGAACCATGAGATTGACGTGCACCTGGAACAAAAGAGTTTTGGATTAGTGGAACTCCTCTCGCTGCCTGGAAATATTCTAAAAATCGAAGGAATTCTCATTTTTTCATCTGACCCCCTCGGATAAGAATTGAGTACGCCACTGGAGTCCAGATTCATATTGTTATTGAAATCATTAAATCCCGATAATGAGTCACAATATGGATTTTCTTTTGGATGGTGTTGCAGAAATTTAGGAATTCTGATTTATTCTTCTATTTTTACCCCCTCAGAAGCATTATAGGCACGCACCTGAAGCCCCGATTTTCAATCTTCAACAACGTACTCCGGAAAAATCATGAATTCCCGAGAATGACAATCAAAATTTTGATTTCCTTTTGAATGGTGTGAAGAAATAAAGAAATTCAGACATTTTAATTTCCTGGCCTACTAAAGAAAAATAAGAGTTACGCTCCTGAGGTTTCGATTTTCATCCTCTACCAACGACCCCGAAGAAATCGACGTCAGTCTTTATTTGCCGTTTGACTCATTTGAAAATAACCGTGATAATATTGATGAGCACATTGTCAAAACAGGAAGAATATTAATTCACAGAAAAACTGAAAATTTTCAAGTGATTTCAATTGTGGTGCCGCGCTGTTGCCACGCTCCGAAAACACACCCACCTGCTGGAAAACAAGAAAAACAACCAACATGAAAACTTTCTCACCTTTTCGCTATGATGGAACTCCCTCAACACCTTGTCGTAATCCTTCTTGGTGACCCTGTTCGGATAACAGGTGGCGCTCTTGATGAACGCTTTCAAACTCCTCTCCAGCAGCGCGTTGATCTCGCCGTAATCGTAGTCGTCGTGCCGGATGCCGAACAGGCACTGGATGTAGTACCAGATGGCCATGCGGAAGCGCGACGTGTCGACGTCTTTGCGGCCGCCCATCGTGTAGTAGGTGAGGTTGTAGGCGGTGCGGAATTTGTCGTCCAGCAGGTTGCCCACGTCGCTGTACAATCTGCAAGAGAAAGAGCCATGGGTATTTTCAACTTCGAAGCTCTGTATCGCGCAAACGAAGCCTTCAACAACCTATGTTTATAGGATTTCGTTTTATAATCAGATCCTCTATCGCTTTTGCTACTTAGATTTCTTTTACCCTGTATATCCATTTGATTGACGCCTTGTATCTCGCAAACGGAGCCTTCAACAAACTATGTTCATAGCAAGTTTTTTTCTCAAAATGAGATCTAGTATCGATTGGCAAGGTTTCACTACTTCGAAAAATTTCACCCTGTATATCCATATGACGTTAACTCATCAATTCTGCTACTTTGGCCATAAGCATGATTTCTTTGACCGTTGAAATGTTTCCATAGCATTTGTTGCCATCACAATGTCATATTTTCAATTTCAACACCCTGTATCTCACGAACAAAGCCTTGTACGACCTATATTCATGACAGCTTGTTTCTCGTAGTGAGATCTACTATCGATGGACAAAGTTTCTCCACTTCAAAAATTTTTACCCTGTATATCCAAATGGTGTTTTATCATTGATTTGTATAAATTCGACCGAAAGAAGACTTTTTTTGCTATATTTCCATTGCATTTGTTGGATTGTCAACGCCCTGTATCTCGCAAACAAAGCATTCTACGACCCATGTTTATAGGAACTTTTTTTCTCAAAATGAGATTTACTATCGATTAGCAAAGTTTCGCAACTTCGACCGGTTTCACCCTGTATATCCATGTGGCGTTCTATCATCAATTTTGCTAGTTCGACCATTAGAATGATGTCTTTGATCATTGAAATGATTCCATTGCACATAATGACATCACAATGTCAAATTTTCAACTTCAACGCCCTGTATCCCGCGGGCGAAGCATTCTACGATCTTTGTTTATAGGAACTTTTTTTCTCAAAATGGGTCTACTATCGATTAGTAAAGTTTCGCAACTTCGAACGGTTTCACCCTGTATATCCATGTGACGTTTTATCATTGATTCTGCTAGTTTGACCATTAGAATGATGTCTTTGATCGTAGAAATAATTCCATTGCACATAATGACATCACAATATCATATTTTCAACATGAACGCCCTGTATCTCGCAGGCGAAGCCTTCTACGACCCATGTTCGTAGAAAATTTTTTTCTAAAAATGTAATTTACTATCGATTCGCAAAGTCCGGCCACTTCGAAAAATTTCACCCGGTATATCCAAATAGCGTTTTGTCATTTATTTTTATAACTTCAGCCATAAGAAGACTTTCTGCGACCGTTGTAGTATTTTCATTGCATTTGTTGTCATCAGTGCGCCACATTTTCAATTTTAACGCCCTGTATCTCGCGGACGAAACCTTCTGCGACCGATGTCCATAGGAACTTTTTTTCTCAAAATGTTATTTACTATCGATTGGCAGACTTCCTCTATTTCGAAAAATTTTACCCTGTATATCCATAACATAACATTCAGTCGGAAATAAACTCACCTATTGACCAGCGAGTATCCGTGATCGTCCCACGAATAATCTTGCACCCTGAAGGTAGGCGTATCTTGCAAATCGCCCCTTTTCGCAAAGTCGATATAGGCGAACGTGGCGTCGTCCACGTAGCACCCGATGTCGGCGGGGGCACGTAGGGGTTGCGACCCCACGGCGCCGATCTCGGCCGATTGCGTCTCGATGTTCTCGAAACGTTTGGCGAGCTCCTCGGGCTTGCATTCGTGGTGCTGCTCGGACAGGCTCTTCATGCGCTGCATCAGGGTGGAGATGGCTACTTCGGGCTCGGTGGGGGACGGAGGGGTGTTCGGACAGTTTTTCCACTCTGGAAGAAATTGTAAGCGATGTTGAGTGGGAAATAAAAATTTCATCTTGAGATATTGGTCGTAAATCGTGAGATATACAGGGTCGATTAAATTATGGAAAAGTTGCGCAATTTTGTGCCTAACGAACTGCTGTCTTGAAACTTGGGAAATAACGAATACTTTCGGTGATATCCAAAAATTGCCCAACCCTGTAACCATCACAGGGTGGAGATTGCCACTTCGGGCTCGGTGAGGGACGGAGGGGTGTTCAGACAGTTTTTCCACTCTTGAAAGAATTTGCATCGATGTTAAGTGAGAAATAAAACTTCATCCTTAGATATTGGTCGTAAATCGTGAGATATACAGGGTCGATTAAATTATGGAAAAGTTGTGCGATATTGTGCCTAACAACAGGCTGTTTTGAAACTTGAAAAATAACGAATACTTTCGGTGATACCCAAGAATTGCTCAACCCTGTAACTCTCACAGGGTGGAGATGACCACTTCGGGCTCGGTGGGGGACGGAGGAGTGTTCGGACAGTTTTTCCACTCTGGAAAAAATGTTCATCGGTGTTGAGATATGGGTCGAATACCGGAAGATATACAGGGTCGATTAAATTATGGAAAAGTTGTGCGATATTGTGCCTAACAAAAGGTTGTTCAGGAACCTGGAAAATAACGAATATTTTCGGTGATATTCAAAAATTGGACAACACTGTAACTCTCACAGGGTGGAGATGGCCACTTCGGTCTCGGTGGGGACGGAGGGGTGTTCGGAGAGTTTTTCATCCTGAGATATTGGTCGTAAATAGTGAAATATACAGGGTCAATTAAATTATAAAAGAGTTGCACAATTTTGTATCTAACGAAATGTTGCTTTGAAACTTGGGTAATAACGAATACTTTCGGTGATACCCAAAAATTGCCCAACCCTGTAACCCTCACACGGTGGAGATTGCCACTTCGGGCTCGGTGAGGGACGGAGGGGTGTTCAGACAGTTTTTCCACTCTTGAAAGAATTTGCATCGATGTTAAGTGAGAAATAAAACTTCATCCTTAGATATTGGTCGTAAATCGTGAGATATACAGGGTCGATTGAATTATGGAAAAGTTGCACAATTTTGTGCCTAACGAAATGCTGTTTTGAAACTTGGGAAATAACGAATACTTTGGGTGATACCCAAAAATTGCCCAACCCTGTTACTCTCACAGGGTGGAGATGGCCACTTCGGGCTTGGTGGGGGGCGGAGGGGTGTTCGGACAGTTTTTCCACTCTGGAAAAAATGGTCATCGATGTTAAGTGAAATAAAATTTCATTCTGAGATATGGGTCGTATACCATAAGATATACAGGATCGATTAAATTATGGAAAAGTTGCGCAGTATTGTGCCTAACGAAATGCTGTTTTGAAACTTGGAAAGTAACGAATACTTTCGGAGATATCCAAGAATCATCCAACCCTGTAACTCTTACAGTTTACGAAATTCTAACGATGAGACTCTAATTCCATCCTCCTGTATATCAGTGGATTGAGAAAAAATATTGTCTGTACTATACTCCTCTCCAGTTGTATTCCAGAAAGCGTCAATCAATTCAATTTCAGAAAATGTCAATTGTATTTCAGAATGCTCCATTTGTATTTTAAATGAGATTTTCATAAATACAAATGACACTTTCTGAAATTCAATTGACGTTTTCTGAAGTATAATTGAGATTTTCTGAAATACAATTGATACTTTCTGAAATACAAGGGACTATACTAAAATACAATTGACGCTGTATATCGACCCTGTATATCGGCCAACGCAGTTTTTTCATCAATTAGGTATTCTGCGTGTTTGAGTTTGCATTCATTTATGGATATATTTTTTGTTTACTATTCCTATGTGATATTCATGGTTGAAATGATAGAGAGAAAATAATATTTTTGTAGAGTTCGCCATTTTGGTTGTAACTACGTATTCATAACCTGACCGCAACTCAAATATTAGTCAATAGTCGACATAATAGTCTTCATTACGTAATTGCAACTGTAAGAATCGATAATGGGCTGTGTGCCCGAGAGCACGTAGCAACCACCCCATTACCGACAACTCATGTCTACTATTAAAATGTATTTTTATAAAGTTTTTGAACCTTACTGTTTACTGTCGATGAAAATAAAGAAATTGATTTCAATTTTGCAAAAATGGCACTAATTCTTGAATTGTTTTGTCATATTTGGCGTGAGATATTAGTAATTTCCACTTCAGTCATCTATACCAACTTTTATGTTATATTGATTGTAGTGAGATTATCTCAAACCGAATCGAATCTTAATTTGAGCAGTTTTAAAACATCATATCTCGATGAAAAATAACAAAATACTGGGATTTAACATGATTTACAATGATTTTTAGAATAATTTTATTCCATTTATGTTGAAAAAACTGTCCCGCAATGACTGGTTACATATTGGGTGGGTAAACATTTTCCAAAATCGATAATGGACTGAGTGCACGAAAATCGACAATGGGCTGTGTGCACGAAAATCGACAATGGGCTGTGTGCACGAAAATCGAGAATGGGCTGTGTGCACGCAAATCGATAAAGGGCTGTGTGCAAGCAAATCGATAATGGGCTGTGCACCCGCGACCGTTGATAATGGGCTGTGTGCCACCCAAACCACTCGAAACCTCACCTATACTGGTGTCCACCATGGGAATGTCCTTGGGCTTGGTCTTGCTGCCTTTCGCCATCGAGTTCGGCGCGGTGTTCTCGTTGTAGAACTGGTAGCCGGCCACGTGATCTAGTTCCTGGTTGAGGCCGCAGGAGAACACGAAGCTGGAGAGGGAATGGAAGTGGGTGAGGATCACGATGGCGTGGATCAGTTCGGCCAATGACCAGCTGTCGTTGCCCTTGGTCAGTTTCTGCAAGAACAAAAGGGATGTGTTGGCAAAATTGGCCAGAATTGATTTATATGAATTACGCCGGATATTACAAGAAGAGGGAGGAAACTATTATCAAAATAAAAATGAACAAGGTTGAATATCTCGAAAGCTGAACCTGAGGAAAAAGTTGATGAAAATCTTGAAACTTCAACGTTCTGTAGATCGGTTAAGAAGGGTTTGCGGACAAATTTTGATTGGAAAAAAGTCATTATCGAGTGCAATACAGGGTGAGTCATTGAAATGGGAGAGTAAGATAATTTCTACTAACCTCAATGTGAGATTTAGATAATAACCATGGCCTATGGGCCAACACTTTGTTGATATCGTTCAGATTCCTCAATTTGGCTGGAATATGATTCAGTCCTTTCAGCCAATTGGGATCCCCTCCTTGCAGAAGGAACTCTTGCTTTTGTAAAGAGATGAGGTAGCTGCATTGATGTCTGCCTGCAGCCTGCAACAATAAAATAATAATAATAATGATAATTGATTCAAATTTTGAATGTCAAGTTTGGCATCTCTGAGTGATGTTTTTGCTCACTCTGTACAGATTTCATTTAATTTGTTCAAACCTTCACGTTCCCACTGAATGTATGAACAGAATGTAATAATGTTTTGATAAAGAGAACGAGAACGAGAAATTGCCATGACGTTATGACCCGAATCAGATTTTTATTTAATTTTTCAAAAAACTGTGTAGATATGAGTATTGATAGCATAGAAATATAATCAATGCATACACAAATCCACCAGATAATTGAATTAATTATAGTATATTCATAGTCGAAGATTATATAAACCGTATACAGTATCATTGCAAAACAATCTTATCTTTGAATGCACGTGGCTGAGTCAAACATTTTTTTCAATTCGGTTCATAGCAATTAATATTTTCAATAATATCCTTTATTTATGTACATATGATGAATGCTATTTACTTTGTTTCCAATATTTTAATCGCCCATTATGTGAAAAAATGGTTGGCATATCGCTGAGCATTTCCAATTTTTTTCCAAGTTTCGTGTGTGCGAGTTGAAACAATTAAAAATCATGAATACGTGCGACCTTGTGAGTGTGAGAAATAAATTAAAACGCACCTGTTGGGAAAACACAAGAAAAATATAGCAATTCCAGAAAACACTGATAGAAGTATATCTTCGAGACACCATGACAGTTTTTTTTTAAAAAAAGGGGGAAATCGAGTCTGAAAATAGCTGATGGTGAAGAATATAGCTATCGAATAGCCAACGAATGAAAAACGAATGAAAAAAATAGAAGAAGTAAAACTGGTGAACAAAAACATGCATAACCACAAATTCACTCGGAGCAGGAATGCAGAAGGTAGTTGGCTTCATTCTGACAGGTTCTGGTTTTGTTATTTATGCATTGAACTATCTCGAATAGAGCTCGATCGTAAACGAAAATATCATTGAATCAATGAATCTCTTTCGGCTATATTCAATGTTACTATCCTTCCTAAGTTACTACCATAGGTCAGAACAGAATGAAGCCGACACCCATGGCTCCTTCCTCTTGTTGAGTTGAATCAACAGGTGTCTAGTTGGAGGAGGAGTCGAGTTGAATTTCACTTACCATAATTGCGATAAAATGTCTATAATCGTAGGGTAGCGGTCCATCACCCCGTAGTATGAAATTTTGGGTCTTGAGAAAATGGTCCAAATAGGACGGATGATATCCCATCACCTGACTGACGTGGTCCAATCTGTTGTTTTGCAAAAATACATCCACGAACAGAGTATGCGTCTGAAACAAAAAAAAAAGAAACTCAGTATGCACAATATTGACAACAAAAAATTTAGCTATATATACCATTTGGAGCTTCATTTCAAACTTCTAAACTCTTCTAGAAGAATTCTTCTGATTGAATGATGCTATGATTATGCTAAAATATATCTTATACTTCCAAGTATGTACGTGGCGAAATGCATACACTTTGTACAGTATCTTCTAGGAAATATACAAGTATAATGTGAGAGCACATGTGATTATTTTTGTTATTCTGAATTCCGAGATGTTTTTTTTTGCAGTTTCATGACAAAAACGAATGTCTTAGGTCACGTCCACAATCTGAATATAAAACAATCGTCACTGTAAAATATTTATCTGGATACTCATTATTTCTCGAGTAGAAACTTGTAAATATTGAATGGAACAGCGCCTTATCGGTCTCAAAGAAAAAATAAACGGAAGAATTTGTTATCAAAGTTCTTCTTATGTTTTCAATATAAAAATGCAAGTTTCGGAATAGGCCACTAAACTAAACACTCCGTTCATCTGAGGTCGATTTTCATTAGTTTGAAAGCCTGTTGGTGACAGGATTGTGAACCGGAAAAATCTACAAAGAAGCAGAGGCGTCATTTCAGTGAATACCAGGGGGGGGGGTCAAGAAAGCCAGAACAAATTTTTTAAATGTGAAAAATGTGCCACTGGCAGATGGGAATTAGATTTCAGAGTGACAACAACTCTATTTCATTGTATAGCAGGAAGGGGATCAAGAAACTCAGACAAAAATCTTCACGGAAAAAAAGGATTTGTTGCATCAACAAATTATTTATGCTTGAATAATTTTTGTTGCACTGAGCAATTTTTTGTTGAATCAACTAGATATATGATCATTTCATGGAAGCAGCTTGTTCAAATCAAGAATGTCGTCTAATTGAATCAACAGCATAATATCAATTACATCAACAAAATATATGGATTTTTTGAAAAATAAATCATGTCGATCCAAAATAATGTCGATGGTTATTCAACTATAAACATTTTGTTGATTTGATCAAATAATGATCATTTTGATGAGAATATATCTTTGAAACAACATACAAGTTTTCTTATTCCGATGTACCAATGAACTCGTTTCGAACGGATCATTTTGCTTGAATAGAGCAACGAAATATATGATATCAATAAAATATTTCGATAATTCTACATCAAGTTAAATTTTCGTCTCTAGATGGCGATCATTTCGCCTCGTCTATGCCTGCCTCGAATTCATTATATACGTGAAGCCTGATTCTTCGTATTAGAAATTGATATCAGCTGGATGAATTGAACTTAGGATAATAAGCAATCCGAAATAGTCTTGCATCAGCTGAAGAGAAGTAGAGACTAGAGATCTATGCTAGAAGTCGACTAGTTTATTCTATTGATGTGAAATTTCAGAGAATTCCCGAATTAATACCGAATTCAGTTCAACAAAACAATTTGTCAAATGGGAATACAGTTTCTCTTGATTCAACAATATATTTCATTGAATCAACCAAATAATTCATTGAATCAACCAAGTATTTCATTGAATCAACCAAATATTTCATCGAAACTAAATATTTGATTGAATCAATATCCTGTTATTTTGAATCAAACAAAATGATTGTCTGAGCCAATTCAATATCTCTCCATAAACAATTCATGCAAGACATATTCAGTTGATTCAAACTTATAAATCGCTCTGAAACAAGATATAGATTTACTGATTTCAAGATTATATTTTGTCGTGCATATATGACACTTATATTTGCTTCACTCAATTCAATTTTGCTTGATTCAAAAACTCCTTTGTTCCCGTGTAGGAGGAATCTGAGTGGATTAAATTTTTTGTAGAAAATCAGGGGGGGGGGGGAACTGTCTCCCCTGAATGACGCCTATGCAAAGATGATGAAACTGATATATCTACCGAAAGAAAAAAGTTTTTCCTGTTTATTTATAAAATAACGAACCATAATCCATAATCTCGAGAATTATCTGCAATAATTACTGCTTTTTTGCAGTTCAGGCTGTTTTCTCGGAAATGAAACGATCAAGAGATACAATTCCTTAGAACCTCGTAATGAGGTATTTGCTTACTTACTTGCAACTCATTTATTCCGCAAAATAAATAAACGACACGAATGCTGAATGGCCTATAAATTAAACTGATCTCTGTGATATCCAAAAGGAGTGTTTTTAGCCTGAAGGTTTGTTAGTGGAAGATGTATTGCATCCTTTACACTGATTTGTCAAAGGAATTATAACGTTATTCAAGATCCTTTGCCACATTTTCTTTGAAATTATATAGTCAAGTCTTTATTACTAGGTACTGACGAATCATCAGACATGCTTCTAGATTAACCTATAGAAATGTTAATGTTTCCTCAACAACAGTCATGAAAGATGAAAAAAACATGTGTAATAGTTTTTGAAACCGAATTTCATGGACTATTTCACTCATCACATAAACGTGAATTACTAAACAACCACTAAATTCGCAAATTTTGAAAATCAAATCACATAATTAGACTGACAGATTATTTGATTACTGTTAAAAACTTCAAATTCCACGTCGATAATGAGTTTCCTATTTTGAGGTTTTTATCTCACTGTGAAGTTTGTAGAAAATTAATATATACGCATTTTTTCTTTTTTACGTAAGATCAAATTTCACGTCAGAAAAAAAATAAATGAAAGAAGAACTTGGCTCCTCCACCATTCCTTTGAAGTACGACGTACTTTCTGATAATCCACATTCACATTCCTTGTGCCAGTACGACGTTGCCGACATCATCAATATGTCTATAGATTTCCGATTTCCGGAAATTTGTTCTGAATGCATTATAACTATATCATAACAGCAATGGGATATAATAGGTTCTTCAATCCTACTTCGTCAAGTATTATCAATAATTCCCATAAATCTCTCATTGGCTGAATAAAGTTTATTACTAATGAAGATAAATCATGATATTTTGCGATAGTATCTATACTTTTTCACTATCGATATAATACAATATGTTATTCACAACTTGTCAGTCATTTTTTTGCTAATGAATTCGTTCCTTGATAAAACGGATCTATCTTCTAGGAAAGTTGCAGATTATATCTTGCAACAGCGCCTAATACTTCGAGTCCGTCCACACAACTCAAAATACTGACAGGCACAACAAGAGGAAGGAACCATGGGTGTCGGCTTCATTCTGTTCTGACGGATGGCAGTAAATTAGGAAGGATAGTATCATTGAATGTAGCCGATAGTGATTCATTCATTCAATGATATGTTCGTTTAGGATCGAGCTCTATTCGAGATAGTTGCATAAATAACAAGACCATAACCTGTCAGAATGAAGCCAACTACCATCTGCATTCCTGCTCCGAGTGTATTTGTGGTTATGTATGTTTTTGTTTACCAGTTTTACTTTACCCATTTTCTGAAAATTCATCTGAAGGGAACTTCCCCATTTTCTGATTTTAATATAATGTAATATCTTCTCAATAATCTCAATATTGATCCGTTTTTTTTCTGGTACAGAAAAATATAGTGTGTTATTCACGGAAAAAATATTAGATTTCAGCAAAGATCTACTACTTTTTTCCCTTAATGATGAATAACTATTTATGCTTCGTGAAGGTGAAATAGTCAGGTTTTTGTTAGTTACTGTGCTGTGAACCTATGTGAATCATTATTTCTCAGAGGTTTTCCATCAGTTAAAAGGTGGGCATGCTTGCGACCGTGCGATGGAAAATGATTTTCATCATGCATTATTTTCTTTATATAATTCAAAGTACTCAACAGTGATGCCATGCTAACATACATGCGATTGAACTTGAACTTTCAACGACAGAAGACAATATTGAATAAAACAATTTCACGTCGATTTTATAAACTAGGAAAATAAGATGAACATTCACACTTATGAACGCCACATTTTTGCACCTCAAATTGAAACCTGAATGAAAATATCTACGACATGATTGTGAAAACTAAAGGATAGGCACGTATCGTCAACTTTATGGTTTAGGAAAAATCTCGGGAAAAATACTTTGAAATAAACAATCATTACGAGTTATTTCTTTAGCTTGGTATTATTTAGGCATTACGTCTTTCTCTCGAACTGTTAACCTATCTCCCTGAAGAAACCCAAACAAACAAGTCGTTACGCTCCAAAAATAACGTTTTATGGGTTTAAAATGGTCGAAAGATATACCCAGTCCCGGAGCAAAGAACTCGGTTTATTATACAACTCAATGGTATTTTTCTTTGGTGTAGTATCAATTTTCCTAGTCGTGTTCTCATTAAGTTTTAAATTTGCGATAAATGTTGGGAAACGATAACGTAGTATCTTGTAACTATTTTATTGTTTTGCTTACATCCTGTATAAACATTATAGTCGGCGATATGTCCTTTGAAAAAATACCAAAGCAGGAAACACATTTTTTAACCGGAATTGATTGCAGAAATCTGTGGTAGATACTGCATTTTTATAGAAAAGTTATGAGATTGCTCTGGAAGTGTTTGTAATATGCTCCTCGAGTCTTGTTACTACCATTCCACGCGTTTGTCCCATATAAAAATGATATTTGATATGCTCTTCGACTAGTTTCTTCAGTATTTACTAGAGTATTCATCATATGGGTATCCGATAGAACATTTATATGTTAATTTTGAAATTGGCATAGTCGTAAGCAGTTAATCTTCATGAATAATACTTTCGAGTGTTTGTGAATTTTTTTGTATGAAGTTGAAAAAACTAGCTACATCATATCTATTCGGATTCGTCAGATTATCCGATTTCAATAATGTGGGTTGCACAAAAGTATAATGACGAATAGTATGATGTTTATTCAAATTTAAATATTGTATTTCTAAATTTTAAATTTCCACAAGGCTGATATTCGATTGTAAACAAAACTGAAAGAATGCAAGATGGATAACCTCAATATCATCTCGGTTACCTAGCAACTATCAACAATTTGTTCAACAACCAAAACGCCT